TTAATCAAATTCAGAGCTTTGCTTCTTCTACTTTGGTTGCAAACAACAGATGCTTACAGCCACATATTTTACACATGCATAAAGCTTAATACATCAACAAAACTATGGTTTTCATGCATTTAGATGTAAGAGAAAAAAGTAGCTGTACGTTAAAAAAGCCGTCATTGTCAAAGGCAGTAAAATCGCCCTTTTGTTTGGTTAAAGTATTCAGAAGTTAAGTGTATGTGTGCTCTAGCCTGGTCAGGTTCTCTAAATCTCATTGTTTTTTACCTGATCCCAGTAACTTATTTCTTCCATTTGTTGCCTTTAGGAAATGGGTTTGGCTCCAAATCATCAAAGCAACAGAAAAAGTAGCTGGAAGCAGAACATTGGTTTAAGGTAAGTGCAGCAGTGTCTGACTCTTCTGCTGTATCCATGGAATAACCGTCGGCTTAATCTTCTCTTCCACGCTCTCAGACCTTCGTCCTCTTCATCCACGCGGATCCACGGGGCAGACTTGAACACAGAGAGGTCGCCGTCTCTTCTCCAGAGTGTTGAGCGATTTTCAGAAGAAGGCTGCGTTCAGCAGGCCAAACGGAAGAAGGAGGAAAGGGATCCAGAGGTGCGGCGAGGTGGCGGCGGCGATGTGGCCGTTAAAGTGGACAATCAAGGGGAAGGAAAACAGTCAGAACCTGAAAGCATGAGCCGGTCCTCCACATCAGTCTCTAATATCAGCTTCAAAATGGAGCAGCCGGAAAACAAGGCAACAACAGTGTGTTAAGAGTTCCTTATTGCTGCTGCCCTCCCTTCACAGGGCATTTCAGAGTCTGACATTAGCTTTTGATTGATCAGATAAACAGTTTTAAGGGAATTCCTTTAACATTTCACAGGCGACGCAAAGCGAGACTCCGATCCGAAAGCTGAATGCTTCTTGGTCAAGTCCTGCTTTCAAGAAGCCACTCAATAAAGCTAAAGATGAAGCAGACGGGAGGAGAAGGAGAACGACCCTGCATGGAGGAGACGGTGAGTCTGAAAACAGATCACAACTAACCAGGAGACCAACTCCAGCCTTCCTGAATGTGACTGAGTCCATTTATTTCTCTCCCCCAGTCAATAGAAACAACACAGTGGAGCCTACATGGAGCGTTGATCCTGCTCTCGCCTTGTCCGTGTTTGAGAGCGAGCAAAGGGAGGAAGAGGTATAGCGGCATCAGGAGCCATTCTGGGGCTTCCTGTTAACTTCTCCGGTTCTCTGATGTTTAAAGGAAACCATCACTGCTTTTCAGGAAGGTGAAGAAGAGCAGCGACCAGGAGAGATGGCAGACACCGACTGCACCTTTGTCAGTCACAGCATGCTGCAGCGCCGGGGAGAGGACAGCCCGGACCGGGAGGACATGAAGTCCGGTACTTGGACGAATCTTTTTAATGACTGTGTGAAGAAGTGACGCCATTGGTGATAATTTGATTATTTTTACCAGGACTTGGGGAAAAGGCCAATGACAGCCTGGACATGATGTTTGATGCAACAACTTTAGGGGAGTACAAGTCTTACAACTGTTCAAATTTGGATCAGAGTCTGGATTGTGATGATGATGATGAGGAGGAAGAAGAAGCAAAGGAGGACATTAAAAGTAAAGATTTAGCTTTATTTAAATGCCTTTTTGTCATCTGATTTTTGACATTAAAAACAAATGTATCCTGATTTCTTAAACTAGATCAAGATCCTGAAAGTGCTGCGTTCCCTGGCAAGGCTGGGTAAGAAAAGCTCCCTGTTTTAGGTCCGTTATGGGTTGCATGGCTGTGATCCCTTTCTCTTTGTGCGCATCAGGCAGCCGACCTTTGCACACGTGGCCGTCGTTCGCAAGAAAGACGAGCGGAGGAAACTGAAGGGCACCACGTGCAAGGAATGTGAAGTGGTACGTGTTCAGATTCTGATTCTAAAGCCCACCTGTTCCCAAACCTCGTCCTCCCTGCAATAACCCCTGTTCTCTGCAGTACTACGCCCATCTGCCGGAGGAGGAGAAACAAAAGAAGCTGTCCGCTTGCTCGAGGCATCGATATCTGTATATCCCTCCCAATACCCCTGAAAACTTCTGGGAAGTCGGATTCCCGTCGACCCAGACCTGCATTGAAAGAGGTAGCTTAACCCTTCATGTTTTATAACGTTCAACAGATTTTAAAATCAGAAAAGCAATAATTACTCCCTCCTCCACACATATAGTACATTCTTGTCTTATTTAACCAGGGTTCCTACAGCATAAGGCAAGTTAAATTCAAGACTTTTTAAGACTTTTTAATGCCACTTGAAATAAAAATTTAAGACTAAATTTACAAGATACACAAGAAAAACCTGCTTGCAACAACTTAACCCAAAGGTTTATTTGCACATAAACCTCTGCACTAATGTTTCAAATTTTGAAAAGAACAAAATCAGTTTTAAAGCCCCAACATAACCAGTGCTTAGTCTTTTTTGCAGCTATTTTTCTTTGCATTGTTTTCTTAGTATGTTTGATTTGGTGATAAGTGGAGGCGTTGCAGAGACAAGGGTGGAAC